TTTGCAAATGACAGTTTCTCAGATATGGACTGAGTTCATCACTGGAACTACTAACATTTTACTCATCTCAGACTGGTGTGAATCTTTGTCCTTCTTACATGCTATTTTAAAAAATAATACAGGGGCGCCTGGGTGGCTCGGTTAAGCATCCGACTTCAGCTCAGGTCATTATCTCCTGGTTTGTGAGTTCGAGCCCTGGGTCGGGTTCTGTGCTGACAGCTCAGAGCCTGGACCCTGCTTTGGATTCTGTGTCTCCCCCTTCTCTGCCCTTCCCATGCTCATGTTCTGTCTCTGTCTCGCAATAATAAATAAACGTTAAAAACAAAATTTGTTTTTAAATACAAACTATAGTGTTACGCATTTAATTTACTTCAAACAAAACAAAACAAAACAAAACAAACAACACGCACACTTTTAATTTGAGCCTCTCCATAATGCAGTGCCTGGTAAGAGTCCCAAAAGCAATGTGAGGCAAGTGGCCACCATGCTGGATGACACAGTTCTACCAATTAGCGATTTTTTTTAAATAAAGTTCTTAAATATGACATGCTTTTTATTTACTGCTAATAAATAAACCCACAAACCATGAAATCATGACCTGAGCTGAAGCCAGACACTCAGCCCACTGAGCCACCCAGGCGCACCTCAATTGGTTTCTTTTTAATAGAATAGCTCCGTCTCCACCAGACTTAGCGCATGGGCACAGTGAGTTAAAAATGCATCCCTTAGCTCACCTTTTCTGCCTTTTCAGAATTAAGAACCATCCTGAACAACAACAACAACAAAAAACCCAAAAGAACAAAAATAAAAACAAAAAACTCTAAGCTCTGGAAAAAAAAAAAATCCAACTTGAATTCCTTTTCTCCAATGGTGTATCTATCAGAGCCTTCTTTCTTCTGTGGTTCTATGTGGCTATTAAAAAATGTCTGAGTCAGCAAGACTGCCCACCTACAGGAAGCCAAAACTAAAAACAAGAAAACAAATACCAGAAACTGCCTAATCATTGTCACCCTCATTGCCAGTGGTAGTCAAGGCTCTGTGATCAGGTACTTCAGCTTGCTGCCTTCATTTTCATTTTCTAAAAACTTTCTCCGCTTATAACTGGTGTTTTATTCACAGATACTACAATTTCTCTACGTCTGGCAAACACTTCCTTCTCCTTAGATCCACTGTTCATACCACAAAGAAACTACAATGGTTAAGCTCTTCATAATCCCTCTGTGGTTTTTATTTCTAGCCCCACCTAATCACTAGGCTTAGAGATGGAGTCCTTTCATTTTTCAACAGGCTGCCTCATACTGTTCATGGCCTGTCCAATCTAAAATTCTTCTGTGGTCTAAACTAACAGAATATTTTTCTCTCTTCTGTGAAAAATTCTTTTAATTTCTCTCTCTCTGTCTCCTTCTCATAACCATTCAGTTATTGTCTGTTCCCTCACAGTGTTCTACTGAGGCTTTGCAAACTCTTTTAAACTGCAAATTCTTCTAAACAAGTGCTGGGGGCCCCTGGGCCTACTCCTCGGTGTTGAAAAACCAGGTTTCCAAGTCTGCAAGGTTGTAAGCCAGACCATAGACTGTGGCAAATCCACGAAGGTGGTATTACTCTTTGAAACACCTTTAAGGCAGGCAACCAACTGACTTCCCCTGAAGACAGCACTTAAAATGTCAGTAACTGGCTCATACCTATAACAACAGTTTCTGTTTCTCTAATATTTCTCCATCCCTTTGTGTTAAGTTGCTATTACTCTCTTGTTGACACGAGTTACTTTTGGCTTGACCTCTATCTCCCCCATGAAGGAAGAGGTCTCACGTTTGCTCAAAGTTCTCCTTCTAACTATTCCATCATTTACTGAAGTATGCCATACGCTTATGAAGTAAAGCACCATGCCAGGTGCCAAGAAGAACTTAAAAAATAGATAAGGCAATCTGGAGGAGAAGAAAAATCCATATACAAAGTCAGAAATATAAGGGGGCAGGAACAAAAGAGTAGGCAGTGTCCTAACCAGCTCTGTGTGTATAATTAGCTGTTGTTCTGCCACTTCTGCCATATCAACATTCTTTTCTTCCTTCTTTCCATTGTCTCTTATCATTTGCAACTGATAGCTAATGCTCTCCAAAGTTCCTTTCATGGCCTCTATCCATACTAATCTGTTTGGTTGGCTTCTGCCTCCCCAAATGTCTAGACTGCCTGGAGGAAGTGCTGCAGCCCCTCGTGGATGGTTCCATGCTGCTGCCTCTCCCAGCGTGGACAAATAGAAAGTGACACAATGACTGAAAGATACTGTCTTGTACCTGAACCAGAATTCTTCAAACTGATGTCCCATATTCGTCAACTTTTGCCATGAGCTGAATAAAGTGAATTCTCTGTACCTTGGACATTGAAGATGCTGAGGAAATAAGGGCTTTGTAGCCACCAGTAACAGGCAAGAATTGGAAAAGTCGGAGTTGTTGTAACAGACATTTCTATTAAACTATCATTTTCAAAGCTTCTGTTCGGTAGGTCTCCAATTTTGTGGGTTTTAGCGTTTTGGGGGGGGGGGGGTTGGGGACAAGAACAAGGATTCTGTGGTCAGATATGCATGGGGAACATGGAATTTAGGAACGTTAAATGTTTCTTTAGGACTGCTGATAGCCCCTGTAATGTGCTAAAGTAATAAGTCTCTTAGAGAAGAGTATTCACAGGACATCATGTGAAGTGCTTTTCATGTGACCTTTTGATTCCATATCCTGTTCTTCCACAAAGCACCTGCCAGGCCTCGATTCGTCCTCTATAAAATGAGTATTTATTTCATAGGGTTATGATGAGAATTTAATAAGTTAATACACGTAAAATGCTTAGAACAATGCTCGGTATATAAGCACTCAAGAAAAGTTAACTATAATTGCCGCCACATCCCCCTATACTGATAATATTTAATATGGCAACCTTCCCAGAAAAGTGAAGTAACAAAATTTTTACTGTGTAGTAATTTCCACTATTACAACCAAGGGGATAGAATGAACCTTGCCTTTGCCTGAGAGGCACTGCTTGAGGCTACCAGTTAACAGAAAACATTGATAGACATAATTGATACATATGATATAGTTATCAGTAAGAATCTTAGATCTTACAGAAAAAGCACAAAGTTAAAAGGGTGTTATCAATTTTCTTCACTCCAAAAGGGAAACGCCTTGAGTACTTTGAGAGCTGAGGTGGTCTAAATACTCAGCACAGTCTGTGGCACATGGTAAGCACTCAACAAAAATTTGATGAAAAAAATCCTGAGAAATTAACGGATAAATGACTATCAGTTGAATAACCCAAATATTATTTCCAAATCGTTATGAAACAACTGGAAAACCCATACATTTCTATATTTAGGCTCCCTCACTCTTCTCTATAGATGTTTAATCATATGGGTAAAACATGAAAGTAGATGGGAGAGTGGCTATTTAAGAGTTATGACTGGTAATTGACAGAATTTAATCTCCCAGGTGTGTCAAAATCTAATATCTGCTAAAAAACAAAACCCAAAAAAACTGTAAAGGTAATGTATGCCATACACAGTGGTACAATTTGATATCTATCTTTAAAGATACAGGACCTAGGGGTGCCTGGGTGGCTCAGTCGGTTGAGCATCCGACTTCAGCTCAGGTCATGATCTCGTGGTCCGTGAGTTTCAAGCCACAATTGAGCTCTTGCTGACAGCTCAGAGCCTGGAGCCTGTTTCAGATTCTGTGTCTCCCTCTTTCTCTGACCCTCCCCTGTTCATGCTCTCTCTCTGTCTCAAAAATAAATAAATGTTAAAAAAAAAAATTAAAAAAATAAAATAAAATAAAGATACAGGACCTACCTGCCTCATATTTATAATGTATAAATGTAATTTATCATTTATAAATGTACACAGGAATCTATCTCTATCTACATGTTCATCTGAGCTGGTTTCAAAACTTTGCAAATCTTTTAAGAATTGATAAATGATCAGAAACAGAAAACTAAATATGCAGAATTAAATAGGTTAGTGGAATTTTACAAAAAAAAAAAAAATCAAGAATCTCCCCACCTACTTTTTTTTCTGAAAACAATAATCTCAAATACTTCCAATTTTAAAATACCAGAATTCTATGCCTAGAACTCCATAACAGTATCACTGTTTCTATCATCCAGTTTCTTCCTTTTATTTTATGAGTTTTTGTTTTTTTTTAAACCACCTGGTAATCCTCACATTAAAAAATTCTAGGACAGGGGTCAGCAAATTATGGCTAAGGTTCAAATATGGCTTGCTGCCCATTTTATATACCAGATGGCCAAGATGGTTTTGTGGGTTTTTTTGTTTTGTTTTTTTACATTTTTAAAGGGTTGTAAAATAAAGCAAAGAAGAATATGTGACAGAGACCTTATGTGGCTTGCAAAACTTAAAATATTTACTGTCTTGCCTTTGACAAAAAACCTTTCTTGATCCTGCTCTAGGGTATTACTTATCATAGCTTACTCAGTAATTTAAGATAATTCATATCAATGACAAGTTCACAGTGAATCATTACATTTTATAATGTAGTAATGAGCACAGAACTCCTTCATAACAATATCTGCAGTCTTCCTGCATACCACTTAGTTCCAATAGCCAATTAAGTTGTTTTTTTTTAGAATGCTAGCACAGAACCCCGCACATTATGGAGGTTCAAATATCAAACTGAGACCACTTGAACAATAGTACTTCAGTTATAATGCTAGTCTAAAGCAGTAGAATAGCCTGGATATAGGAAACCCTTTTTCTCTTCTGGGAATTCAGATCAACTGATAAGAAGGCTCTAACCATTTTCTCATATTTGTCCATCCCCCATTCTCACTTTGCTAAAAGAAAGAAAATAATTCTTCCTCACTTTCTCTGAAGTCTACCCCAGGTGAGATATATAGAGGGGTACAGATATATGTCAAAATCTCTAATGTGTTTTTTAATTAAGTTTCCTTACAGAGAGTTCTCCCCAAGTATTCAAAAGAAAACAAACATAGGAACTCACTCCAGAGCAGGTCTCAGAACTCTGACTTTTAATGCTTCTAAAATTCTATTTAACTCCACAAACGGTTCTTTCTGACTTGGGTCTACAGAAAGACCAGATTCCTGAAAAAACAGAAAGAACTTTTGTTAGCAGTAATCAGACAAAGAAATATATTAAAAGCATATTCTAAATTATAAAATATGAGGCAAGCCATTAAAAAATAATTTTTAACATGTGTTTCTATGGTACAGACTGATGACTGAGTCCTACTAACATTCCTTCTTCTTTCCCAAAGTAGCAGAGCCCCCAGATTTTAGCCGAGTACATAACTGTATGGAATAAAGCCGTACTCCATAACTGTATGGAGTATGACTTTGCGAGATGGAAGTTCTGGCCGGTGAAATACAAACATGTACTCTTTTCCCTTTCTTGGAATACCAAAAGGTGTACCTAGAGTTCTGGTTGCTATCCTGGACCATAAGGACAGGGGACACCTTAGTAACAGCAGAGCTACACGGAGGCTAGGTCCCCAAAAGCCTCATGGAGCATAGCTACTATAGATGCTGTGGATGGCTTACTACTTCCTATTTCTGTGCAAGAGAAATATAATCCATTATTTTTAAGCCAGTGGTATTTTGGGTCTTTGTTACTTATAAATAAGCTTAACGCTAAAAGACACAATTCACTTTAGGAAATTTACATGGACACACACAAAATTCCCATAAAGGTACAGAGAAAGACTTGAATTATTGGCTTTCCGAATTATTTAAAATAGAAGGGGTGCCTGGCTGGCTAAGTCAGTAGAGCATGCAACTCTTGATCCTGGCGTAAGTTCAAGCCCCATGCTGGGTGTAGAGATTACTTAACAATAAAATCTTAAAAAAAAAAAAAAGAAAAAAGAAAAGGCTTAGATTAGAGGTCTAGCTTACATACTGACATTAAACTATTTAATTTTTATAGTCCTTCACTTTTCTAAACAGAAAATACAGTAACATATGGTGGACTAAAAGGGAGTTTGAAGACACATGAATTTGGGACTGAATCCTAGTTTCTTCACGAAGAACCCATATGGCCTTGGGCAAGCTACTTCTCCAGACCTCGGGTTCCTTATCTGTAGAATGGAAGCAATTTCTACCTCACAGGATTGCAGTAAGGAATAAAGGCAGGGCTTGGCCTGTGGCTCTAAATACATGGCAGCTGCCATTATTACAACTAGGTAGAATGGATGAACTATTCTGAGATCCTTAAGCTCATATTCTACTAGCAATAAAAGGCAAAGCTGCTCACTGAAGTAAATTTTAGCTTGAAACTTATTTGATAAACAAAATGCTGCAAGTTGGGCCAGATCAGCAGGACATACGTAAACTTCTTTATCCTCTTCTTCTCTGCTATACTACCTTCCCTAACAAAAGAGGAAATGGAGAAAGTAGTATCACTTTTGACCCCTTGGTTGATTACCTGGGACCTCTGTGATGAGGCAGGAATGAAAAAAAACAACTCAAATAAGAAGTTCTAGAACTGTGGGGCATGTGGGTGGCTCAGTCAGTTAAGCATCTGCCTTCAGCTCAGGTCATGATCTCACAGTTCATGAGTTCCAGTCCCACACTGAACTCTACACTGACAGTGCAGAGCCTGCTTCGGATCCTCTGTATCCCTCTCTTTCAGCCCCTCCCCTGCTCGCGCTCTCACGCACTCTCTCTCAAAAATAAACACAAAAAAATTCTTCAAAAAAAAAAAAAAAAAAAAAAAAAAAAAAAAAAAAAAAAAAGAAAAGAAAAAAGGACTTTCTAGTAAAATGAGGTCAGCCCTGGTACTTAAAATATTAAAAATCTGTCTGTGGCCAAAAGAAAACTCAAAACTCCCCTGAGTTCCCTCATTTTGTATCATGTTCTCACCCACCGGCACACTGTTAGCAGGCACACCGTTACCTGGCAGAGCTCCTCAGCTACATCCAGCATCCCTTGTCGAAAGAAGTGCTCCACCATCACCTCATTGAGAAGCCTCTGACTGTCTGCCTGCCAGCAGCCATCTATTCCCACACTGCTAATGTCAGAATCAAAATTCTGAAAAAAAGAAAACAAATCATGAGTTGACTAGGATATACCATTTTATATGATCTTCACCCTACCTAACAGAAAGAGTACCCTTCGTTTCACTCAGATATCCACAGTAAGTACCCAATTCAAATTATCTGCAGCCTACCACAAGAAGTAGTTTTTCCACTGCTTTCCAAAACTTGTCACCCTCACTGATTATTGCTGGAAGAGTAAATGGGTACATTTTCAGAGGGGATTTGGGAAAATACATACATTTAGTCATTTCTGTGGATAAACTGATTTCTAGTGAATACAGCAATATTTTCAGGTATACAGTGCTAACTATACAAACATGTTCAATACAGCACTGTCTAACTGGAAAAGAGAGAAAACCCATACGTCCAACACAGGATTAAATAATCATGGCAAGGCCCAACAACTGCCGTGCCAAGGTAGGGGTTGGGGGGAGGGAAAATGGCCAAGTAATTAAGAGAGCAGACTCTGAGGCTAATCTACCTGGGTTTGAATCCTCATTCTCTCTCTTACTAGCTGTGTGATCTTCGCCAAATTAGTCAAAGTCTTTGAGCCTCAGCTTCCTTAAGTGGAGAAAATAAAAGTACCTTCCTATTATGGGCTGAACTTCATCTTCTCAAAATTCCCATGTTGAAGTCCTAATTCTCAGTACCTCACTAAATTAAAATGAGGTCATTACAGTGAGCCCTAATCCAACAGGACTGGTATCCTTATAAAAAGAGGAAATTAGGACACAGACAGGTACAGAGGAAAAGCCATGTGTTATTAACTGAATATCTAGATGTCCCCATCTCCACCCCTCCTGAATTCCTACATTGAAGCCCCAACCACCAACGTAACTGTATTTAGAGACATCTGTGAGGAAGTGATAATAGTTAAATGATGCCACAAGGGTGGGGCCTTAATCTGATAGGGCTAGGGCTCTTATCAGACAACAGGAGAAACACCAGAGTGTTCTCTGTCTCTCTACATTGTGAGAACAGTGTGAGAAGGCAATCATCTATAAGCCAGGAAGGAGGCTGTCTGCCCTCAATAGGAAATGAATTGGCCAGCACCTTGATCTTAGACTTCCCAGTTCTCAGAACTGTGAGAAAAATAAATTTCTGTTGTTTAAATAACCTAGTCTATGGTATTTTGTTTTGGCAGTTCAAATGGACTAAGACACCATGTGAAGACACCGGGAGAAGATGGCTATCTACCAGCCATGATGACCGGTCTCAGAAGAAACCAACCCTGCCAGCATCTTGATCTTGAACTTCCAATCTCGAGCTGTGGAAAAATAGAGGTCTGGGGCGCCTGGGTGGCGCAGTCGGTTAAGCGTCCGACTTCAGCCAGGTCACGATCTCGCGGTCCGTGAGTTCGAGCCCCGCGTCAGGCTCTGGGCTGATGGCTCGGAGCCTGGAGCCTGTTTCCGATTCTGTGTCTCCCTCTCTCTCTGCCCCTCCCCCGTTCATGCTCTGTCTCTCTCTGTCCCAAAAATAAATAAAAAACGTTGAAAAAAAAAATTTAATAAAAAATAGAGGTCTGTTTAAGCCACCCAGTCTGTGGCATTTTGTTACAACAGCCCTGGCAAATTAATACACTCCCTTATTGGTTAAATGAAATGGTAGTTGCTATTATTCTAGTATTACCATTCACAATGAAAAAGTGAGGTTCATTACTCTACATCTACTAACACAGAAAAATGCCCAGGACACCTTAAGGGGAAAAAAAGCAAGTTTTACAAAATTATGACCCCATTTTTGTTTAAGAAAAAAAAGAAAGAAAGAAATTCTTGTAAAAGCTTAGGAAAAAGCCTGAAAGAATATACATTAAAGTTTTTAGCAGAGATTATCACTGGAGATTACCACTCTCCACACAAAGAACAAATGTTCCTTTTATAAGAAAATAAAGGATTTTTTCAAAACACATGTTAAGAGTTCCAGTTCTGGGTAAGATCATGTAAACACATTCCACTCTATCCCACTGAATACAGTTATAAAATCAGGACAGAATGAATGCAGCAGCCATTTAAAGGACATTAAAAAGTAACTACAAGGGCACTTGGGTGGCTCAGTCAGTTAAGCTTCCGACTTCAGCTCAGGTCATGATCTCACAGTTTGTGAGTTCAAGCCCCAGATCAGGCTCGCTGCTGTCAGCACAGAGCCTGCTTTGGATCATCTGTCCCCCACTCTCTCTGCCCCTCTCCTGCTTGTTCTCTCAATTAATTAATTAATTTTTTAAAAAGTAATTACATATGTTCCTCCACTTATGATTACATCCTGATAAACTCATAAGTTGAAAATAAGGTAAATTGAAAATGCATTTAATACACCTAAGTTACTAAACATCATAACTTGGCCTAGCCTATCTTAAACATGCTTAGAATGCTTACGTTAGCCTATAGTTGGGCAAAATCATGTAACACAAAGCCTATTTTATAATATAGAATATCTCATGTAATTTATTGAATACTGTAATGCAGATCATACTGCAAAGTATCACTAGCCCAGGAAAAGATCAAAATTCAAAATTCCAAGTACAGTTTCTACTGAATGGCTATCACTTTCACACCATCATAAAGTCAAAAAATTTTAAGTCAAATCATCTCAAGTCAGGGACCATTAACAGTAGTAAGTGGATTGAGAAGAGGGTCACAGAACTAGTAGTGAGTTTACTATTTTTCTCCCACCACTACCTCTCAGCCTGGATGCAATACAGCCAAAACACAGAACGAGGCACCCAGAATATGGACACAGAACTCCAGGAGAAGCCCTCTAGTTCTGGCATGAGAAACAGGAATGGGTTTCTCCTACCATTCAGAAAGACAGGAAGGGAAATCACATGTTTTTCCCCTCCATTTTCTTGCAACTCTAGCTCAAGGCAGTCTGTAGGTGCACTAGTTTTTGACTGTTAATTTAAATCAATTTTATTATCTCACAGCTTGATAGATCAGAAGTCCAACATGCTCCAGCAGTTTCTCTGTTCCAGGCCCCACGAAGCTGAAATCAGGGTGTCAGTGACTTAGGCTCTTGTTTTGAGAATATGGAACGAATCTGCTTCCAGATTCATTCAGGTTCTTGCAGAATGCAGTTCCATGCAGTTTTAAGACCAGGGTCCTTGTTTCCTAACTGGCACAGGGAGTGTTTTCAGCTTATAGAAGCCACTCACATTCCCTAGCTCATGGCCCCCTCTATCTTCAAAGCCAACAACAGAGGTGACATCCCTCACACTTTGAATTTCTTTCTACCAACCTCTACTGCCTTTAAGAACTCATGTGAATTACACCAGGCTCACCTAGATAATCTCCCTATTTGAAGGTCGACTGCTTAGTAACCTTAATTATACCTGTAAAGTCCCTTCACAGCGGTAACTAGATTAATGTCTGAATAACCAGGGGACAAGAATCTTGGGAGGATATCTTTAGAAATCTACCTCTACAGCGAGAAACCTAAAACTCTGAGGGGGGGGTCCTTTCTCTCTAATCAGAGGAGCTGTGGTCCCAAGAAGGAGGGGCAAAAACCTCTACTGCATCTGCTCTCTGTCCTTCTACCACCCACCCCCAGGTACAGGCATAATCTCCGTAAATGCACAGAACAGGGTAAACAAAGCCCCAGCTTTCAGGCTGAATGACCAAAACAGCAGCCCCAGAGAACCATAAAGTCATAGGGAGATCCCAGAGAGGGAAGAATTAAACAACATGACCCTTTAAAGTTGTTTCTGAACCCTTAGGTTCACTCTCAAGTTTCACGTGCATGGGTCTGACCCTAAGGAATATGCCAGACTTTGAAAACTAAACTAGGGGACAGAACTAGGTTCCAAGTCCCAGAATGGCTGTTGGTTGGCATACAAACAGGACACATTAAAATAGCTCAGACACTGAAATTACAACTCAGAGAAGACTGATCAGAACTTACAGCCTGAACCCAACCAGGTTGACTGCTAAAACAAAAACATTAACATTCTCCATAGAATTTACACAAGACCCAGAATCTCGTAACATAATATGGGTGGCCCTTGAACAACATGGGTTTGAACTACAAAGATCCACTTATATGTGAATTCTTTTTCTGATAAATACAGTAAGATAAATGTATGTTCTCTTCCTTACGATTTTCTCAGTAACATTTTCTTTTCTCTAGCTTACTTTACTGTAAGAATATACTATATAACACATGCAACATACAAAATGTGTGTTAGGGCACCTGGGTGGCTCCATCAGTTAAGCGTCCTACTTCGGCTCAGGACATGATCTCACAGTTTGTGGGTTCGAGCCCCGTGTCAGGCAGGCTCTGTGCTGACAGCTTGGAGCCTGGAGCCCACTTCAGATTCTGTGTCTCCCTCTCTCTCTCTGCCCCTCCCCTGCTTGCTCTCTCTCTCTCTCTCTCTCAAAAATAAAATAAAAACATTTTAAAAAATGTGTGTTAACTGTTTATGTTATCAGTATGGCTTCTGGTCACAGTAAGTTATCAGTTTCAGGGGAGTCAAAAGTTATATGCAGAATTTCAATTGTGCAGGATATTGTTCAAGGGTCAACTGTATTTAATTTTTTTTTTTTAACGTTTATTTATTTTTGAGACAGAGGGAGACAAAGCATGAACGGGGAAGGGTCAGAGAGAGGGAGACACAGAATCTGAAACAGGCTCCAGGCTCTGAGCTGTCAGCACAGAGCCCGACGCGGGGCTCGAACTCACGGACCGCGAGATCATGACCTGGGCCGAAGTCGGCCGCTTAACTGACTGAGCCACCCAGGCGCCCCTAGGGTCAACTGTATTTAAAAATGTCCAGGATACAATCCAAAATTACTTGGCATACAAAGAACTAAGAAAATCTAAACTTACATGGGAATAAATGTTCAGCAGACGTCAATGCAAAGAGAACAAAGACACTGAAATCATCAAAGACTTTAGATATCAAGTTATAAAACTGCTCTAATAAGGAAGAACAAACACTTTCAAACAAAAGACAGAAGGTCTTAGCAAAGAAACAGAAGATACAGTAATCAAAATAAACTC